GTAGTCTGTGCTTTTGCTCTGCTCTGCCCTTTTCCTGTGATTGTCACTACTAGACTAACTACCGGGAAAATAATCTGCACCCTATCCTTCTCTACCTCTGTCTAGTATCCGCTACTTATCTCCTTTCCTTCTCTTCCCCTCTCCTCTTCTCTCTTCCTTCCGCCCCCATCTTCCTTTCGGGTTCACCACCTCGTGACGGGGTTTCTTCTATTCGGAGTTTTTGATTTTTGTTTCCAGGGGTCTGTTGTTGGTGCGAGATGGATGTTGCAGCTCTCCGAGACCGCATTCAGTCTACTCTCGACGCAAATGCGGATAATCGACGCCAAGCTGAATTGGATTTAAAATATGTATGTGGGGAGGACTCTGGAATGAGGGTTGACAGTGGAAGTTCTTCCTACATAAGTCTAATACTGGTCATTACCTAGGCTGAGACGCAACCCGGCTTCATAAATGCGCTTCTGGATATTTTGCAGGGGGAGCAGAACAATGCTGTTCAACTTTCGGGTATGTTGACCCCGCTGGATGTCCGAGAATTTTTTTTTTTTTATATAATCTTCGGACCCCCTGAAGATCGAATGAATACTCGGCCTTTTCTCTGGACATGACTGATGATGAATAATTACTTGCAGCCGGTGTCTACCTGAAGAACAGAATCAACCGCGGATGGTCGCCCGTCGAAGACAGCCCCCTGCGCGCACCGATTCCAGAGGCTGAAAAGCCCGGCTTCCGAGAGAGGCTGATCCCAGCGCTCGCATCGACACCTCCCAATGTCCGCGCACAGCTTGTTCCTCTCCTCCAAAAGATCCTTCAGCATGATTTCCCTGAGCAGTGGCCGGGTTTTCTGGATATTACGCTTCAGTTGCTGGGCACCAATGATGCGAGCTCCGTCTACGCTGGTCTACAATGTCTGCTGGCCATCTGCCGCGTTTACAGATTCAAGGCTGGAGAGAAAAGGGAGGAATTTGACAAGATTGTCGAGCACTCATTTCCTCAGCTCCTGAACATTGGCTTGAAATTGGTTGACGAGGAAAGCCTGGAGGCAGCTGAAATGCTCCGGATTGTTGTCAAGTCCTATAAACATGCCATTTATGTGGGTGATCCGGAAATCTCAGATGCAACTGCTGCGGGAAAGGCATGAAGGCTGACTGTTGGTGACCATAGTTCGAGCTTTCGCCTCATCTTCAAACCCACCAAGCGACTGTCGACTGGTGCACACTCTTCCTGAGAATCATTGCCAAGCAGCCTCCTGCCAACTCCATGATGGAATCCAAGGAAGAGAGGGAACTCAACCATTGGTGGAAGTGCAAAAAATGGTCGTATGCCAATTTGAACCGTCTGTTCATCAGGTGGGTAGACGCATCTCCCGTTTTTGTTTGACGGCGCACAGTTTATTCACAGATATCCTAGATACGGAAATCCTACCACAATGACCAAGTCTAGCACCCCAGATTACTCTCAATATGCGAAGACGTTCATCAGCACTTTCGCTCCGGAAATTCTCAAGGGATATTTGCAGGAGATTGACAAGTGGGTGTCAAAGGGACAATGGCTCAGCAATCCTGCTCTTGCATACACTTTGATCTTCCTGGAAGAGTGTGTCAAGCCTAAGGCGATGTGGGAGCACCTGAAACCGCACATGGACAACTTGATCGCTCACTTCATATTCCCGATCATGTGCCAATCAGACGAGGATATCGAGCTGTTCGAGACTGACCCCTCGGAATATCTCCACCGGAAGTTGAACTTTTACGAAGAAGTCTCGGCGCCCGATGTTGCGGCCACGAATTTCTTGGTCGCGCTCACGAAGAATCGGAAGAAGCAGACTTTCTCGATCCTTACGTTCGTCAACAGCGTCGTTAGCAAGTATGAATCTGCTCCGGACGATCAGAAGCTGCCCCGAGAGAAGGAAGGTGCTCTTCGCATGATTGGTTCACTGGCCTCTGTCATTTTGGGCAAGAAGAGTCCCATCGCCAACCAGGTCGAATACTTCTTCGTTCGCCACGTTTTCCCCGAATTCCGCAGTCCTCACGGCTTCCTCAGAGCTCGTGCCTGCGACACTTTGGAGAAATTCGAGCAGCTCGATTTCCAGGATCCCAACAACCTCATGATCATCTACCGGAATATCTTGGAATCGATGACCGATCCTGAACTGCCCGTCCGCGTGGAGGCCGCTCTTGCTCTGCAGCCTCTCATTCGTCATGACATTATCAGAACGTCGATGCAGCAAAACATTCCCCAGATTATGCAGCAGCTGCTCAAGCTCGCCAACGAGGTTGACGTGGACGCTCTGGCCAATGTCATGGAAGACTTCGTCGAAGTTTTCTCTGCCGAGCTGACGCCATTTGCTGTGGCTCTCAGCGAACAACTCCGTGATACGTACATGCGTATTGTTGGCGAATTGCTGGAGCGTAATGCTGCCAAGGGCGAAGAGGATACATATGGAGACTTTTTGGACGATAAAAGCATCACTGCCTTGGGTGTACTGCAGACCATCGGAACGCTCATATTGACTCTCGAGAGCACCCCTGATGTGCTTCTGCATCTTGAGACTATTCTCATGCCTGTTATCAGCATCACGCTTGAAAACAAGCTTTATGACCTCTACAACGAGGTATTTGAGATCATTGACAGCTGCACCTTCGCCTCGAAATCTATCTCACCTACAATGTGGCAGGCTTTCGAGCTCATTCACAAGACGTTCAAAGCAGGTGCCGAGCTGTATCTGGAAGATATGCTGCCCGCCCTTGACAATTACGTCGCTTATGGCTCGGAAATGCTGGTTCAAAACCCTGCATACCTTGCGGCCGTCGTTGGCATGGTTGAGGATATCTTCAGGGACGAGAAAGTCGGCGGTGTCGACCGGATATGTGGGTGCAAACTCGCGGAGACCGTGATGTTGAATCTGCGCGGCTATATTGACCAGTACATCCCTCTCTTCATTGAGCTCCCAATGCGCGTCATTGAGGCTGGGGAGGCTAGGACGAAGTCCTACCGTCTTCACCTGATGGAGATGGTAATCAACGCCATTTACTACAACCCTGTCCTCAGTCTGCAAGTTCTGGAATCCAAGGGCTGGACGAACAAGTTCTTCAGCACGTGGTTCTCCAACATTGACAACTTCAGACGTGTTCACGACAAGAAGCTGTCGATTGCAGCGATCAGTTCTCTGCTCACGCTGAAAGCTGGAGATGTTCCTGCCAGTGTACAACAAGGTTGGCCTAGACTCCTTCAGGGAGTCACCAGACTCTTCCAGACTCTGCCTGCAGCAATTAAGAGTAAGTTCCCGACTTCTTCTACCGCTGAATCTTACTAAGCTTGTAAAAGGCCGCGAGGACGCAACGAAAGAGTCCGACTTCACATACGATGACGAAGGTGAAGAGGATGACGAGGAGAATGACTGGGACGGCGAAGTTGAGTGGACCGAAGGAGATGAGCTCGAGGGGGCAGCCGAGGGCGACGTTCCTGACGAGAGTGCCGCCTACCTTGATTTCCTGAACCAGGAGGTGAGCGCATTATGGTTCTGGTCTTGAGAGAATCCCACTAACCGTATTCTCCAGGCACAGAAGTTCGGCTCCTTTGCGGACGACGATGATGACGAGCTGGATGAGGAAAGTTTACTTGAGACGCCACTGGACAAGATTGAGCCGTACGGCATGTTCAAGCATGTGTTCATGGGTATGTTGTCTTCCCCCTGATGGAGTATGTTGCGCATTGGCTAACTCCCTACTAGGCCTTCAACAGGAACAGCCACAGCTTTATGAGAATCTCACGAAGATTTTGAGCCCTGAGGAACAGCAGATCATCCAGGCCGTCTTCCACGAGGCTGATGCCAAGGCCATGGCAGCTGCTAACGCGGAAGCTGCCGCTGCTGGAGTTCAGGCTAACGGCACCCAATGAGACACGACTTGCAAGCAGAATCAAAAATTAAAAAAAAAAATAGAAAAGAAGAGATGTTCGGCCCGTCGACGAAATGAAACAGTCGACATTGCTGATTCTTCCATATTTGATGATATAAGAACATGCCATGGCTACAGCTCTTGGGCTTTGGCTGTTTTCCAGCAGGCGCCTGGATTGAATAGGCTCTCACGCCGCATGTGCTCGTTTTTCCTCCCCCCCCCTTTTTTTTCACTTTTTTTTTTGTCATTTAGATCGTTTTCCTTTTCTTTGTCTGAATGCTGTCATGGTCATCTTGGTTCGTTTATAATTGTCATCATGATCTCTCTCCACAAAAAGTCCCACCATTGTGATTTGACTCCATTTTCCCCTGCATACATGTACTGCACAGAATCAGATTCCCCCCCATTAATCCTGGCACTTGGCTTAGGTTCATTTATGCTTTGGCATGAGCGAAATGAGATGCATTCTACCGATGATTAAAGAAGAAGGAAGCTCCAAATACGTTCCACTCATTACCTCTATTGGCTGAGGATTGACCCCACGGATACAAAGAACCCTAATCATATGAGTCACGTGATCTAAGTGCAAACATCACAAACCAACAGGCCTATGACGCCATATCAGAAATCATGCCTGCTAGAGTAGACAGAGTCAAGTGGTCAACGATGCATTCAGAACTGATAGTGCCTCGTCAATTATTTCAATTGCAACATGTACCGAAGACTGCGTATCATTCCATAGCTGTTTCTTATAATTTTGTATGTGACGTACCCCTCGTACTAGCAGAAGTTCCTCCAGCGACAAGTTGATGATCACAGTGGGCCCCATACCAGACGTCATGATGATGAATCCCAACAAGGCGGCCCTGTCTCCAGCTCTTCACAACGTTTTAGCGCAAGTCGTCGACACTTAAAAAGCCTAAGTAGGTATCTTGCAAGACATTCCTCACACTGTCAAATCATCAGAAAACCATCAAACCATACTCCATTGCAATCTGATACCTACGTTACCATTGATACATATCCCAATCCCTCCACACAACATCGTAAGTTCTCTTTTCCCCTCGTGAATCTGGATTCCGGCTTATATAACTCTAAAGCAAAATGTCCGCCCAAAACTCCGGCCGTCAGTCCCCTCCTCCTGAAACCCAGTCCGGCGCCCAGCAGCAAGATCCCCCTTCGGCGGGCAAGACCCAGCCCGAGCTTCGTGGCGACCCGCAGCATTCGCAGCGTGAGTCGAATGAGACCAAGGAGTCGAAGCTGGAGAGTAACCCCAAGCATCCGCTTGAGGATATTGAGGCGGCCAAGTACTCGAAGGTACATTGATTGGGGAAAGGGGAAATTCGATTTTATGATGTATTTCTAGACTCCACTTGACGTGTGAATGAAACCTACGATTATTGAACGAGTATTCTCCTTCTGTTCTCCCTCCTGGGAGGGATTATTTATTTGTGTCCATGGTGAAAGTTTTCAAGGGGTGTTAAGTACAGGAGAGAGGTGGTAGTGACTGCGATTACAAAACTCTTCTGTTCACCTAAGTCACTCGTCATGGTTTGCGGTGAAACACCAGATACTGGGGAATTTCAATAAGAACAAACAATCAAACTGCGAGCAATACAGAAATAAATCATGATTTCCTTAAATCACCGATCCCTAATCACGCCTTGGGCTCAGCGGGGGGTGCAGCACCCGCCGGTTGCGATGTCGGCGCAGCGCTAGGAGTAACGTTGGCAGCCTCTGCACCGGCCGCAGCAGGAGCATCCTCTGTCTGCTTTCCGCTCTTCAAGTCTGCGAGTCTGCGGGCCTCGTTGTGGATGTCGCGCACCTGCTTGTCGGTCTGCACGTAGAATTCGCGGAGCTTCCTGCCAGATGGGGTATCCAAAGCCTTCTCGAAGTACGAGTGGAGACCGCGCCAGCCACTGGCCGCCTTGTCGGTGATCTTGTAGCTTTCATCAATCCCCTTGGCACGATCGGTGGCATGGTATTTCTGGTCGAAGTTGGTCAGGGCAGATGTGAAGCGGGAGGAGAAGCCATGCTTCTTGTCCAGCGCGATGGCCTGCTGGATGGCGCTGTCGCTGATCACGTAGCCGTGGGCAAGGTACTCTGCGACAATCCGGGACTTGGGCTTGTCTTCCTGCTCAAGGTCCTGGCCGTTCTCATCCTTGGCCTCTCCGCTGGTGGCCGCATGGTCTCCGGCGATCTCGTCAAGGGAGTGAGCGGCGGTGACATGCACTGTGGAGGGACCCAATTGGGTTTGATCCAGGAGCAAGGCGGTCTTTGCTGCTCTAGAAGAACGTTAATTCAGGTCCCTGTTTCATTTTGGAAAAATAGAAAAGAATGTGTGGCATGACCAAGTTTCGATGGCGTGGACAGTGCGGGGTAGGCTTACGCTTCTTTCTCAAACGTCACCGTTGCGGACTTGGTCGCATCCTTCTCACCAGAAACTGGAGTCACAGAGATCGAAGTAATCTTTCCACTATTAGTAGAGAGAATATTAGCAACCTGATCAAGAGGTTCCTGTGCGACTGTCATACCAGAAGCTGAAGAAGTCCTTGACCTCCTTATCAGTGGTGGCGGATGAGATTCCCGACACATGGACAGTGCTGCGTTCCGACATTTTGATTGCGTGATAGTACGAGATGAATATGAAAGTATGTGCGTGAGTAGATATGGATTGGAAATATTTCACAGAAAGCTGTAGGATGATCGAAAGTGAAAGATAAGAGGCCGACAACAGGTGTATTTATTTTGGCGTGCAGCCTAGCCTATCATTGCGCCACATATGACGTTGTGAGGGGTTGCTTGCACCGCCACTGTGGAGTAGCTTTGGTCGCGCATGTGAAAGACGTCAAGTTTGACAGTCGATAAAAATAGATGGCTAATATGCAATTGTCAATTAGTGTCCAGTAAAGTCGGCAGAATCAAATAGAAGACTAAATGGATGGAGAGTCAGATGGTTGTGAGGTCAACATTCATTGATATATTGACTATCCAAGATGCATCCTAGCTAATTCTAAGGCTAATCAAGGACCATCCTTCGCGTCGTCCCTCGAGGAAATGGACAGTTTTCCCAATTTCAGTGTTGTCTCATGGTCGTTTGTTTGCTGTTCTGGAGAGGTGACTTCGCGTTCTCGATATTTCTTAACAACAAGCTCGAGGTCCCGTATGCGACGACGCAGGGCCTCGTTTTCTCGCTTCATAGCTTCCAACTCTCCCCGCTGGACCAGTATTTCCTGGCGAGGTGGATTGCCGGAAGCTGGCACCTGTTGCGGGGAAAAAGACCTTTGACGAGCATTCTGAGATCCAGGGACGTTGCTTGGCACATTCTCGCCCTGTTGTTGTGGTTGCGGTTGTATCAATGCAGCCAAGGACGGCAGGACTTGATCCGGCAGCCGCGATGTGGTCGACAAGGCACGAGCGGGCTTTGAAAGGTCGTTTGGACGTGCCGATGGGAATGACAAACTGGGCTCCCGAGATCGTGCAATTGCAGGCCCATTTCCTGTTCTCGATCCTTGAACTACTGGGACATAAGACGAGCTTAGACTCGATGAGGAGCGATGTCGCCGCGAGGCTGTCGGATGTGCTGAGCTAACTAAGTACGGTGTACTGTGATATCCATCCAAGGGATCGTTGAGCGTGGTTGAAGTGGAGGAGGTGGTAGATGCAACAGAGGCTGTTTGCTGGCGTAGCATAGACAGCTCTCTGGAAAGCCGGTTTACCTGCCAACAAGACCATGGTGTCAGAACAGTGCAGCGTTGCTTTGAGAACGTCAATACTCTACCATCGCTTCTTGCTCTCGCTCGACCAAGGAGTGGAGATCGGATGGCGTAAGGGGCTTTGGATGTCGCAGCGGAGCTTGCCAATTCTCAGTGTGATGCTTTCCTTGGAACAGGTCCAGCCAGTTTCTTACGTGACACTACTCCTGCACCACCGTTTTCTCCCGCCCCTGGCATTGGGCTTCCTTCATATGTTCTCTGGGGAAGAGAGATGCCGGGGGTGCCCATTCCCTGAGATGGTCGTCGAAAGATGACGGCCGGGGTTGTAGACGGCTGCATCGCAGTTGCGGCACGGCGGCGAGAAGTTGGGGAAGAGGTAGGAGCAGGACTCGGATCTGCAGGCATCCTTTTTTTTCCTGGACACATGTATCTCTAATGAAGAGCTGTCAGTTGACGCGGACAGCTTTTGGGAACTATATAGGAACGGCAAGTCGCAGTAATATCCAAAACCTCTGCGGAAATGAGCTTTTCTGAGAACGGTAAACTGGAAGAACGAAGATGGAGGGTCAAGAGGGGCTTCGAAGCGAGGACGCTGAAAGCCTGGAAGCAAGGCAACCCCTTGATTGAAGTTCCAGAAGAATGAGCTCAAAACATACCAGATATGGTGGGTGTCGCCAATTCTGCCTGCAAATCTGTGGATCTTCATAAGTCATGTATGGATGATAAAGGGTGTCCGTTCACATTCGGAGTTAATCAGCATTCATAGACTGCATTCTGTAGGTCAATGCGGTCAGCTTCACAGTAGTACCTGTACTTGATGTCTGAAGCGACTACAAAGAGATGGCTAAGTCTCAAACAATGATAGGACCTGTGATCGTCGAAAAAGAGACTGTGTGGACATTGCAAGTAGACCAGTATGCCAACTTTTTCCGGGAGTCTGAACGCTATGCCTAGCCAGTCGAAGCGAGAGTACATGGTTGAGGTGTCATCTCCCATTGTATCCTTGTCAGATTGTTGTACATTCCGAAGTGTTCGCAGCGAACCGTCCATCGGCATAATGACATCTCATTCGCCAGACATAATATGGTCAGAAGCTTCCTGCTGAGAGTGACTGGCTGACTTCAGCGACTGTGCTGAACCATTTTGACCACTCTGTCGACACAATATATTCTCCGCCTCTGAAAATGTCTACAATGCGTCAAGATAGTTGGGACACATGAGTGATCGTCAACGGTCTGAGTCCTTCTCAACCTCTCCACACTTCAGAGAGATTTCATTTTGGATCCCTGAACGCATTGGATTGTTTAGATGGCTGTGAGGGTACCTAGATAATTGAATATATCCCTTACTTCTGTGGTCTATAAACCTGGGACGGAGGAGTGCACTGCCCATACAATGAGCTACAGAGGATTGTGCTCAAATCAAGGAAATTAGTATAGACCATATCACAAAGAGCATGCAATCTATACCCATAGATCAATTAAAGTCCCTTCTCATGTTCATATGTCTTATAGGAGCGAGGAAAGTTCTGCTCGCAGGCAACTGAGGAAATCAGTTTGTATCTGCTTACGTAACAGGATCTACAACCTCGAGCAACAACAAAACAAAACGACAATTGAAGATGCGAGTAATTGGGCAGGAAACAGGTAAGTCAGAAGATCGCAAGGAGGATCGGCTTTGATATCCAACAGCCCATGGAAATTCTAGGTTGACGTCAGAGTTCGCCTGTAGCCTCTGAGCGAATCACTCGTCATGGTTGATCGACCTGAAGCTGATATCCCGACCGATATTCCTCCTTTTGCCAGGCCGTTGGCCCCCTACATCAGAACTCGCCAGGAAGCGCTCCGCATCCGACAGGCCTTGACCTACTACCTTCGTTCGCAAATAGATTTCGCAGAGGATGACTCCGAAAATCCTAATTGTCATTCCCAATCTCATCTTACCCTCTGCTTACCGCAAGATGCTGTGGTCAATGTCAAGCGAATCCCGGCAGAGTTGACCGGGCTGAGGAAGGAATACTTGCAAGCTCTTCAGGCGAATCTGGCCGCGCGGAAGGAGTATCATTCGTTAACTGAGAAAGTTGCGTCGGCAAAAGAGAGAACAAAAGGTTCAAAGACCGAGTCTCCGTCTATCGACCACACTTCAGAACTACAGACATACCTCCGACTGCTTCGTGATCGCCGCCGGCATGCGAAGTTGCAGGTCTTTCAGCACTATCTACAGGAGCTCAAAGAACGAGACTCGAATATCTCCGAGCGCATCGGTGATCGAGCGAGCCAAGGCCAGGAAATCGTGTCTTTGGAGGAGACCAAGGAGGAATGCAAACCGACGGGGGTGGACGCAGACGATGGTATTGAAGGCTTGGTACATAAACTGGAAAGAGCCGTGATCCGTGCCAAAGCTCAACTGGATCGAGAGAGAAATCTGTTGGACGTCTTGAAGTCGCAGCTTGCGCCAGACAGTACTGATGTACCTCCGGCAGTCAAAGTCGCGGCACTGCAGCGGACGCGGGATGAGCTGGTGCAATGGGTTGAAGAGAAACTAGTGAGCGTGAGTAACGCCGACGATGCTCCAGTGCAGGATCTTTCGCCTGAGGAGATCGAGGAGTCCACTCGGTTGGTCAAAGTCCAAAAGGCAGAAATTGCGGCGCAGTATGTTGCCTACGTGGAAGCACGTAGGCGATTGTTGGATGCTGCTTCTCGGGCCTGTCAGCCTGTGACAATGCCATCTACGAAGCCGTCACGCCAATCGGTCGACCTAGGGAAGTTCGCGATTGGGGGTCGATCTTCACTGGACCCGCTGGAGGTTCTGTCTTTTACAACCGAGAATCTTCTTCCACTATCTAAGGCCCAGCGAGCGTTGGCTCTGCAGAAGAACTACTTATCGGGGTTGCTCGCCAAGGAAAGGTCTATGACTCTCCGTGTTCTAAATCGCTTGAGCGATGAGAGTCACCTCCTTCCGGAGTATCCCCTCTTGACTCATCAACCACGTTTCAAGCACATCAGTTCGAGGCATGCGACGAGCGCAACTGGAATGCCGAAACCCGACGAAGTTGTTACCTTGGCTGAATCATGGGCCTTCGCGTCTGAAGCGGCAGCGACGAACGAACACCAGTACGTCGAAGAGAGGCTGGTAGAGGGCCAGGAGGCGGCTACGGACGCAGAGCATGTACTGCAGGAGGTGTACAACATGTTGAATCAGGACCTCGAGGAGACCTTGCGAGATCCGCAGTCATCAGAAGACGACTCGAATGACATCTGGGCGTCTGAGGCTCGTTCGACCTGGTCTCGCACGAGGGCCACCAGGTTACAAAAGCAACCCAGAGGTCCATGGGCCAAGCTCAATGGGCAATTGGGTGTCACTGAGTGATTGCATAAAGGAAGCGCTACATACACCGAATTGCTATGTTTCCATCCGATGTATATATTCAAAGTGTTATGATATCACGCTCCGAACCTCAATTGTTTCTTAATGGCGCATTTTCGTTGGAAATAATAATATGATTTGCAAATAAAGTTATGATATCGGCCCGGAAAGGCAGCACAGAAGAGCCAGTCAAGTTGGTCATCCGGCTCCTCTATCCAGGATTGGAACGTGAGGACCCTCCGATTTCCGCAATTTCATGCCAAGCTGCCAGTAGCGAGGAAGCGAACGCGAATTGGACTCCAGGAACAGTATTGATCGGCCATCCATGAAAATTTTCAAGGAAGTGGTTTGTGAAGGGTAACCACAGTCAATGCAATAATAGCCTGCCTTTTAAGTTCGCAGCACATCAATTGAGAGATAGATGGTCAGCATGTATTTACTGAAAAAGACCCTGTCGTTATCTTGGACAAGGAATTGAACCAATTTACCCTGTAGGTAGTAGTCAGTACTCAGTAGTCCGTGTGCAGGACTATGACTCTATGAGGATAATGAGACAATGACGATCTGGCATCCACCAGACCTGTGGAGAGGATTCGGTTTTAGGGTGATGATGGGACTTGATAGTGCACACAGCGAGACTGCACAGAACTCCTACTGGAGCCAGCCACAAGAAGGGAAATACCAATTGGGATCGTCTCTAAGGTAGGTAAGTTACTTCTTCAACACTAAGACTCCGGTGGGAACGGTACTATTCCAAAAAGAGATTTACTGAATGGTCAGAAACAACCCACTGTCATTAGTGGCGTTTGTGATAAATCCATAGTGGTTTAGCAATTCCTTGAGGGCTCAATAATAATACTATCTACGTACCACCACTGAGGAACGCGATAAAGGCCTAGGGTGGGAACTGCGGTGATGGTCTCTACGCACAACCCAGTCCCACCGCATCCACTGAGCCATAGTTTGATTGGTGGTGATTGTAGGCGGTGAGCACCGAATCGGCAAAATTGGCAGGGCAACAGCCAACGGGAGGAAAGTCGCAGAGGAAAATGGTAGAAAAAAAGGGAAAAAGCAAAAAAAAAGGCCTCCGCACACCGGAGCTCTTATCACTAGTCCCAGGGAATTACCTCTGGTATTTGTACCTTTTTGGGCGGGAGATTCTGGTCAATCCTCTGGGACCGATTCCGATTCTCTGTCCGTCTCCAGAAAACCGCATTGACTCATACCTACCCTATTCCTGTAAGAGTCATCCATTTATCTCCCTCCGTATTCTGTTCCTCCTCTCTTCTCCTTCTTATTCTCCAATTCCTCCTAGATTGCTTCCTGTACGTCAGGCCCAAGGCCATCAGTTCTTCCTATTCCTCTTTAGTCCTCCCCTGTCTATTGGGTGTGTGACACAAAGCGGGAGAGTAGGGATTACAGAATACGAGTCATCGCCTTGGTGGTCAATTGACTCGCTTATTGCACTCTATAGTCTTCTATATCCATTATCTTTCCCTAAGCGCAGTGCGCAATGGTCCTCGCCGCTCGTTGCGGGCAGGCTACGTCCTCCCTACTGCGTCAGCGATGCCTGACTGAAACCCGTCGTTCCGCTTTCGCTTTGCGCCCCTTCTCCGCTCAGACTACGGCCAGGTCAACGGCTTCGAGTCTGCGATTGCAGCAGAAGGTTGCCTCGCCATTGCGATCCCAGCAGCTCCGTTCCTTCTCCAGTGCCCTTCGTCGCTTGGCCTCGCAGGCAAACAACCCCCCCTCTGCCGACAGCTACCTCGCCAGCGGAGTTGTCAAGCCCGGTAGCAATCTGGTTGATGTCAAGAAGGTCCTTGTCATCGGTAGTGGTGGTTTGAGTATTGGACAGGCTGGAGAGTTTGACTATTCCGGTAAGTCACGCGACTCGCATTTCACTTAGCTCGCATTGCAATTTGGCTCGTATTTCTGCTTGTGGCATTCAGAAGCAGCGTCGACGTGGATTCGCTGCAAGGGGAATGCCATCTGGACGGGAACGAAAGAGAAAGGAACAAAAAGAGCCCGCAAAGCTGTTT